TTATTAAAGATAAATATTTATCTATAGGGTTATTTACAACATAGCTGGTTCTATGGACCATGAGAATAGGCACATTCAAACCAATCTGACTCAAAAGGCTAGGGCAGTCAGTCACCCCACTGATGATTTTGTATATAAAAATCGCTCCAAGCATACTTCTGCGTTGGTTGGTTCAAAGATGATAACGATAATTTCTGTTCAATTGCCTCATAATCATGGTCTGTCAATCTAGAACCACCTTTGTAGGTACAAACCCGCAAACATTTTTGGTGAATTCTTTCTAAGGAATACCTATGCACCTGAAAAAATGGCGACCACACCACAAAGAATTGTTCTGTAGGGATGACCTTACCATTCTACTGGCATCAACTGAAAAATAATTACAAAGCCTAATTAATTACAAAACCCAACATTTTAGACTCCTAACAGATACTGCATTTATGTGATCTATGAAAAACAATTTTTCATCAAAAAACACACCCAGATCCCTCACTGATGGCACATATTTCAGTAACTGATCATTTATATAATAGCTAGTTTTAATTCTATGAACTTTCCTAGTAAAGCTTATAAAACAACATTTATTCACATTAAGATACAATGTATTTCTTTGGCACCAATCAGATAAACAGTTCAAAACTTCCTGTGAAAGTACCTGTTCACAGATACCTTCTACCGTTCTTCATCAGCAAATATCAGGCAACCGGGTCAGTTAAGTTAGCCCCCCCCCCCCCCCAATAGAAAATTTCTGGATGAAAATTATCCCATAATTTCGCTCTCATTTTGCTCCATTTTGCTCCACTAATTTCGATTTTTGCTCCATTACAGTGGAGAGACTATGTGGCCTATTAGGTGGGGGGGGGGGGCTGAATTAACGCTAGCGCCCGCCAGTGAAAATTCAGAAATTTGATCATGCTCATTTTGTTTTCCGAGTATTGCTCCATTTTGCTCCACGGCGAGTTTTGCTCCATTACCAGGAGAGACCTACAGAGCTTCCAAGAATCTCTCCCAACCCCCCCCCCCCCCCCCCCAGTGAAAATTCTGAAATTTGATCATGCTCATTTTGTTCTCCAAGTTTTGCTCCATTTTGCTCCACTATCGGCGAGTTTTGCTCCATTACCAGGAGAGACCTACAGAGCTCCCAAAAATCTCTCCCAGCCCCCCCAGTGAAAATTCTGAAAGATCATGCTCATTTTGTTCTCCGAGTTTTGCTCCATTTTGCTCCATGATCGGCGAATTTTGCTCCATTACCTGGAATGACCTCTAGGGTCCTTATTCTTAAAACAGGGGAGCAGCGTTTCCATGAGAACGAATGTTCCGCCTTTGTTGAAGCCCACAGCACGGATCCTGCCGGACGACGTCTGAAAGGGGAGAGGAAGCCAATGGGACAGGACTGATAGCGACAGATTTTATGTACCTATCAAACCTATCAAAACAATTGAGATATACTTAATAGCCTGTTGACTAGACAAGGACAACAAATAATACGGCCATTATACTCAATGCGCTTTGCACTCAAATGCTTGAAAATCAGATACAGGTGCATGAGGAAAAAGAGGCGAGGAAAATGAGAGCACCTTCAGAGCGCCTGAGTGCTCAAAGCGTGGCACCCGAAAGCAGCTCAGGTAATGGAGCAGAACTCGCCGATCATGGAGCAAAACGGAGCGAAACTCGGAGAACAGAATGAATATGATCAAACAAAATTTTCACTGATATGGGAGGGCTAGGAGAGATTCTTAGGAGCTCGTAGGTCATTCCAGGTAATGGAGCAAAACTCTCCGATCATGGAGCAAAATGGAGCAAAACTCGGAGAACAAAATGAGCACGATCAAATTTCAGAATTTTCACTAGCGTTAATTCAGCCCCCCCCCCCACCTAATAGGCCACATAGTCTCTCCACTGTAATGGAGCAAAAATCGAAATTGATGGAGCAAAATGAAAGCAAAATTATGGGATAATTTTCATCCAGAAATTTTCTATGGGGGGGGGGGCTAACTTAACTGACCCCAGGCAACCACTATTTATAAAACAATCAATAATATCGTTCATAAAAACATTAATTAGAAGCGGTGAACAATGCCCACCCTGAGGCACACCTAATGAGACCGAAATTATCAGAATAAAAAGTTCCCTATTTTAACTCGTTGGACTCTGCCTGTCAAACAGCTCTCAAACCATAATATTAGCTTGAAATTAAATCCAATCTGCTGGAATTTCCTAAGTTAAATTCGATGATCAACTCGATCGAAGGCCTTCGAGGAATCTGTATATAATGAATCGGTTTGTTTCCTGTCCTCCATATTTCCTACGATATCAGTATGTGATAAGCTACCAAATTTGTTGCAGTTGATTTATTCATAGAAAAGCCATGCTGCTTCTGCTCCTGCGGAATAATGCCATTACACTGCCATGCTAGTTGTTTACTCACAAGACAATCCAGTAACTTTGGTATGGCAGATTGATTACAAACGCTACGATAACTCTCAACGTTATCCCTCACACCATTCTTAAACACTGGAACAATGTAACTTTTCTTCCAAATATCAGGAAACACTGACGACGCCAAAGATTTATTAAACAAGCTACATAAAGATAACACAATAGTGCAAATACTGCAAATACAGTTTTTTCACAAAACATTCGGTACGCCATCAGGTCCCACTGTGAGCTTGTTTGGCAAATTTTGAATTTCATTAAAGATATCGAACTGAGATATAACAGAGCATTCAATATTATTGCTCATGGTGCAGTTCTTCCAACTTACGTCAGAACTATCAGGCAATTTTTGTTCTGGATTATGCGTGTAAACTGCTTGAAAAAAATCTTTAAACAAATTTGCTATTCCCTACCCTCCAGAAGCGCGTTTATTGTCATAGAACAGTAGAGAACCAGGTATAGACTATGACCAGATCGCTTGTCATTTATGTACTTCCAAAAAGACTTCGGATCTTCTCTCAATTTCACATCGAAACCAGTACCTAATATAATTTGAAAAACAAATACTTATCCGAAATCCTTTTGCTTTGCAAGCGTAATTGATACCACCTCATGTGTGTCATTGGAATGATCCTTTATGTAAACTGAATGTGCTTTTTTTTCTGTATAGTTAACTGACGCAGAAAAACATTTTGGGAAAGAAGTTGTTTATTATTTTTTTAGAAAGATATAACAGGCAATACCCGTTTTCAATATTTCCTAAAACAAATCAGTTGATTCATCAATATGACCACTTAAACAATTGACCCAGTCAGTTGATGCCAAATAATTTTGCAGCTCTACATATTGACCATACACATAATCATAGTAAAATTCACTGTGAGCTAATTCGTCGGCTTCCAATTCACCATCATATGGCGATATAGAGCATTCATAACTAATGTGGTGGATAATGAATCCCAAAAGAGAATCGCAAGCCACCAGGGCTAGCACCAGGGCTAGCACCAGGGACAGCTAAATCCTTAACATTGGAAAAGACTAAATCCAAAAAAAAATTCCTATCATTAGGTATTTCATTGACTAGAAAAAACTTAAGAAAACCAAAAGACTGAGCTACCTGTATTGCTGGGTCTCCACTTAAACATTGCATCATTGTTCCAAACTCGTCATTGGACCACACACGGGTAAGTTCTAATCTCCAAATAAGAACACATTCATTCCTGGATAATGCCCACATAAATGCCCTACCGACTCACCAGTGCATGGGATTCACGTGATGACTGAGGAGGTATGTGAACTCCCCCAATAACAAATCTGGATTTATTTATTTGACATAGAACCAAGCTCAATTCTATTCTCTGCAACTCTGATGCTTCCAATAAAGATCAAAACTCCTCCACCACTTGACTTGCTACTCGTTTTGGAGCTTCTGTCGCATCTTAATACATTAAAACCATCTAATTTTACTTCACGATCAGAAAAATCCTGGCTTAAGTTGCTTTCTACCGGAATGATAATATCATAAGTACAACAAATCACAGCTTTAAGGAGCTTGGGCAATTTGATTCGAAGACCGCCAACATTTCGGAAGTACACAGTTGATAGGGTTGCAATGAGTTTTTTGGGTTATTCTGTTGGTTAGCTTTCACAACTGGCACCCTATTCCGGTAAACAATAGCTAAATTTTCTTCACTATCTGCTTTCCTGCTGTCGAGTAGTAAATTGGCCTTCTTATAGGCATTTTGTTGCATTGGTGTCTGATCATTAGATATTCTGAAGCCTGTTCCTTGCAACTTTCTCCCCAATTTAAGTGCTGGTAAACATATTTTTGCCCACACGAGTAATTTTCCTAACTGATGGAATCTCCTCCTTTCGACCCAAGTTATCAAAAACTTCCAAAACGACTGTTCTATCATGACTAATGCGCTTCTCCAGATTCATTTTTAGTTTTTCGTGGCGCTTGATTTACTTTCTATTCATGGAAAGCTGAAAAATTACATTAGAAATACTATGATCAGCTGGCCTTTTTCAATTTTGAATTTTTGATTATTCCAGGCTCAAATACTGGGAATAATCAGTCAGTTTGTTATTCTAACTTGGTCTTTTTCAATGTGTAAATTTTTTGCTTCAAATCTTTGTCTTTGGTAGGTACCTGAAGACTGTTAACCCTATAATAATAGCACTCGCTGAATCCTTTTCAATTTGCAAAATTGCAAAATCATTCAGTCGGCATTAAACTATTTTCATAAATCATTCATGAGAAAAATTTCTTTCGCTTGAATTTATATTTAATCAAGGTCGAATCGTTATGAGAAAATGTTACGTTACTTTAATAAAAAAAGACAATGAAAACGTAATTATTTGCGAAATTGAAACATCATTTTGATTATCTAATAATTATTCAGTTGAGATTTTTAATTGCAATTTACCAGTAATTGACACATTCCAAATGTGAAGATTTCGTTGTATGAATCCCATCAACTTTAATCTATAGTAATGGGTAATTTCAAATTCTGACTATAGATCTCATAACGCTTTCATACCTACCAATCAAACTCCAAATCGTACAAATAAAACTTGTATTTCTCTTGTATAAAATTACAATCACTTTACACAACTAAAAATTACAATTAATTTAAGGCACATTTACAAAAAAAATAATACTAAGACGAGTATCTACAAGAATTCAAAGGTTAACAACATGTTGTCAGCTGGCAGTCTAAGTTTTTTTCTTTAAAGTCTTACAAATTACGCATGGCAGAATGGGTAGTTAGGACAAGCTTGCGCGCTCACTCCAGCTGGAATTTGAGCAGGTTGAGCATGAGCTGCTGGTGCATGATATTGCTGAGGTTGTTGTTGGTATTGAGGTGCCGCTTGGTATTGAGCAGCTTGTTGTTGTTGACCTAAAAATAATCAATTGATTTTTTTGTAGAAGTACGTTTGAAAATGCTTACCAGCATAACCTGGAGCCAAAGCTTCAGCTAAGCCTTCACCACGGTAGTCACCGTCACCGATATATTCACCACGGTCTAATCTTTGTTGAACGTCCGATGAGTATTGGCCTTGTGGAGCTTGAGCGTATTGTTGATACACTGGAGCTGGAGTTGCAGGAGCTTGATACTAAAAACAAACAAAGATGGTAAATGATTTTTGACTTAATGTATTAGGCTTACTTGTGGGTATTGAGGAGCAGGTTGGTATTGAGCTTGTTGTTGTTGGTATTGAGGTTGTTGCTGTTGGTATTGAGGTTGTTGCTGTTGGTATTGAGGTTGTTGCTGTTGGTATTGAGGTTGTTGTTGTTGGTATTGAGGGGCAGAGTTTTGGCTGATGGCTACTAATGGATTGGTGCAGTCGGGGTAGTTGGGACAAGATTGTGGGTCGACTCCTGCAGGGTATTGAGCGGCTGGTTGACCTCCTGCCAAGGGACCTTGGTATTGTTGGTGTTGGGCGAGGGCGCAGCCTGCCAAGCATACGAAGACGGCCTAAAAAAGAAAATTGGAAATCTTTCAATCATTGGTCCAAACTAACAAAAAAAAAAAAGTTGCACTATGACAATTCAAGGAAATAATTTCACTAGGTTTAATTTTGTATGAATCTAGTGCAAAAATTTGCAATCCAATTGAAATAAATAAATAAAATATATGGGAAGATCAAATTGTACTTACCAGTTTTACAAACATATTGTTTCAATAATAGTTTTTGCTTTGCTAAACAAAATGCAAATGACTGCCTATCCGAAATTTCACGTGATTATTTATATGGGAACCACACCCCAACCGCCTGGGTATACCGTGCGACAAGTAGCCCTGAACTTCAGTCGAAATTCAATGTAAAAAAATCTGTTTCACATTATTCAGTCGATCTTGGGCCGGTTTTAATTTAATACTCGTAAAAGGAGGACTGTACCTTACCTTTTTCCTTTAGTTGACTGTCATTACCTTAACGGCCTTCTTGCTTCTTGTGTTACCTACCTACTTCTTTTTTTCATGATTATAAATTGTTGCCGGATATGATCAAGTACACGTCATGACCGGAATCGATTCACCTACAGATAATTATTTGAATTAAGATAATGAAATAATACATAGGTAAATATTGAACAAGATAAAATGCCTTTGCTTTTGATCTTCTTTTTGGAAAATTACTAGCCTCGTATGAGTCTTAGGAGACATTTTAATACCTACTGACATTTCCGTAGCTCCTAGCGAATGCATCAGAATAATCTTTTCGCTGTAGTGCTGGCTGCCTCTCGGGCTTGTTTTAGTTGTCCGGCAACTTAGAGAATCAGGATTTGCTTCTGATCCTTCTAAAATAATTATCTAACATTATTATTATTATTACCTACAGGTCTCTGGCCATAGATATAAAAATTAAAGCTTCAAGGGTATCAGAAGAAACTTTCTACTTTACTGTGATTTTGGCACCTTCCTAGCTGGCTAAGCTCGTTTATGATACAACTCTAAAGTTTGCTTCTACCAGAAATTTAAAAATGAGTTATAATTCGAAACTAGAAAATTTCAAGTAGGATTTTTATCCTACAGCTCAATTTTTTTTATACAGTGTATCCAAGATAAGGATGGGATAGCATTATGATGTGGAGAACGGTTGAAGTTACAATGTTGATTAGATTAGGAAAAAGTTCCGCAATTTAATGCTCAATAAAATGGTACTTTGGCATTTGAAAAATTCCGTACATTTTCCGAGATATCCGGAAAAAGTCGAAATTTTGCAAAATCGATTTTATTTTTTTCTGAGCTTATTTTAGGAGCTAAGTATTTCAAAATAAATGTCATCTCATTATTGCCACTTTTTTTCCTCTACAAGATAATAAAATCAAATTTAAAATCTGATGTTTTGTCTTTGGGCCACCATCATCAACTCTCGGCCTCTTCCAACAAGTCTATGTGCCTTTCCATTTTCTGTTATACCTGTATGACTAGACACCCATAGTATTTTGATTTCCTTTCCTCCATCCTGCATATCTAATATTTCTCTCACCGTGATTCTATGGGTCCCTCTGTTGATGCCATCTCTGACAATTTTCAAAATAGCACTTTTAGAATCCGATATTAAAACAGCTTTTCCTGTGTCAATCTCTAACGTATTGAGGGCCGTATACCTATATGGCTAGCACCTCTGCTGAACGAATATTGGTTAAGTCCTGGCACTTCCCTATTATTGAGATTTTTTTTGTGCTGTTATATATTCCAATTCCGCAATGTGTTGATATTGGCTTCAAAGATGCATCTGTATATATTTTCTCATGGTCCGGGTATTCCTCCAATAACTCCTGTAATATGGCCATCTGGACTGAACTTTTGCATATTTGAATCCACCCAGTCTATTTTCCGCAGCTGAGTTGTCCAATAGTCCTATGTAAGCCAACAAATAATCCACCCCCTCCATTACCGCCGAAGCGAACTTGGTCCGCCAATAAGGTGGATCCTGATTGAAACAAGCATGGAAGTTGAATATCACCCTATTGACCTCGTCCCCTCTAATGGCCAATTTTCTAAGCCTCAACTTTGTACTAAGTAGGTTCCTTTGCCTTTGCTTTATTAAAGGCATTTCTGCCGCTTCAGATAACAACGTCATTATGGGAGTACTTCTCATACAACCAGTCTCTACTCTCAAGGCCTGGTACTGAATGCGATCCATTTTGCTGGAATTCATCTTACTTATGTGGTACATCGCTTGACAGCCATTATCAAAATGGGTTCTAACCAGCCCTTTATAAATGTTTAACAATATATTTGAGTCAGCGCCCCACCAGGTTCTTGTAATTGCTCTCATTATGTTAATCCCTTTCTGTGGCTTGTTAATCACATATTCAATGTGTTCATTCCACTTCAGCTTTCTGTCCAATATAACACCCAAGTACTTATAGTTTTCAATCCACTCAATTTCTCTATTTAACACCCCTTATATTTGTTATTGGAAATATTGGAATATTTCTGCTACCATAGAAAGAAGAAAAAATTTCTGCTACCCTTGGACAATATAGCTTTGGTTTTTTTCTATTGAAATATCCTCTTAGCCATCCCGTCAATTCAAAGCAACCTGCACTTTTCTTATACCCTTTTTCACCTTTTTACCAGCTGCAAATATTACAATGTCATCGGCATATTGCAATGCACAAGCCTTTAGGTTCCTATAAAACAAGTTTCTTACAAAAAATCCATTCATTAACCCTGGCTTCTTTCAACTTCTCTCTAAGAATTTCCAATGATACATTATTATAAGTAGCCCGAATGTCTATGAAGGCACATACTTCCACTTCATTATTGGTAAATGCTGTGTAAACTGAATTGGCCAAAATGACAAGATTGTCTATGGTCCCTTTTCCCTTTCTGAAACCATTTTGGACTAAATTGAAATAATTTTTTTCTCCAAGAAATGTTCTAAACGTGTCTTAACCATGCTTTCCATCAATTTACCAAGGCACGATGTCAAAGCTATTGGTCTGTATGCTTTAAAGTCTTCGAGGTCTTTCTTGGGGTTTTCAAGCGGGGTGACGATTTGGTTTCTCGATGCCTGTGGGATACCTGTCTTCTGTCTAAGGATTCCATTGAAAAGTTGCAACAAGGTAGTTTTCATAAATAGCGGTAGTCTTGACAACATAGGGTAAGTAATTCCGTCCTCTCCTGGCGCTGTATCCTTTTTTCCTCGAAGAACAATATCAAGCTCCTCTATACCTAATTCAATAAACTCATCCTTTATCCGATTATTCATCAATACCTCTGGATTGCCGCTGACAAAGGGAGGGGCTAGCGTATTCAGTAGGTCTGTCACCGAATCTGTCTTATCTGTGTATTTGATTTCATTCACTATATTGTTTGAAAATTTCTCAACTACCCTCCCAGACATACCCGATTGCTGATTCTCTACTAAGTGTTTCTGTAAACTTTCTAAAGCCATCTTTCTTTTTTTGCTTTAGAGGATTCGTCTTGTTCTGGCAGATTGTATTTTATAAAAATGTTTAAGGTCATGCATCTCAAATACATTCTCATCGCCTCTAGTCCTTTAACTATTATTCTGTTACAATCTTCATCCCACCAAATTGGCTCTGGGGTATATTTGTTTTTTTCTGGATCCTGAGACTCTTGGGATAGCTTCTTCCGCTGCCTGATGGATTTTATCGGTAAATGCCTCATAGGTATCAATATCCTTCCTATCCTTCTCAAAGAACCTGTCATATTTATCCCAGTCTGCTTTATCCGTTTTCCATTTCCTCAATGGCTTCCTTTTCTGTTTTTGACGTATCAGTTGTTTTCCAATGCAGCATACAGCTGGGAGATGGTCAGTGAAACCACTCTGGTCGGAAAGATACCAAGTTACAGCGTTTTCCGAGATCTTGCGATACGATTGTTATGTCCGGACAACTTTTATCTTGGTTCGATGGCGTTATTCTCGTGGTATTACCCTCATTTATAATTATTAAATTGTTATCACTAATATATTCCATCAAGTGCCTGCCATTAACATTATTACTATGTGAACCCCACATTTAGATCCCCCATGATGATGAATGGAGCTTGTGTTTCTCCAAAGGCATTGTGGATGTTGTTTGGAGAAAGTATGACATCTGGCGGGAAGTACGCCGTGACAAAGTTTACATAGTAACTTCTTAATCAAAATTTACTTACCCCATGACTTGGCATCTTTGGTTGGAGTTATTATCCATGTTACATTTAGTATGGGGTATGCCTTCTTTGATCAAAATAGCAATACCTGCTTTTACATCATCTATATCCAATCTGTGTGTTACATAGTATTTGACCTTCGAAGCATTGTTTGCCTTCAGCCATGTCTCATTAATCAATAAAACATTGTTTTACAACCTCTATTAGTGGTGTTGGCTGGAACGAGTAGGTACTACCAACTGGCGAGCCTTCCCTTGTACTCCTTTGAGTAGGCGTTCTAGCAGGAGAAGGAATCAGACATTTTTAGTGCATTTTGCTGTCATACCCTGGCAAACAGGGATTTTTTCTTTTCAGGTTACATGCAGACGAAGCATATTATGATGGTTTTCTTGAAGTCGTAGTGGTTGGTTTGTATAAATGTCTCTGGTTCACTTCAATTGGTCTACTGGCTTCCGAAGCTATTCTTGTAGGAATCAGAACTGGAAAATCTCTATGATCCAAGTTCTCTCTCTGTCCTATTTTTTCATCTCCTTTGGAGTGTTTATTCCTAGCTTCAAAATAGGAGATGTTTTCTGTTATCATTGTAGTTTTGATTGCTTTTTGTCTCAAGTACTCCTTGCATTGTCTATCAGTGGTTTTATGTTCCATGTTGCAGTTTAAGCAATTAGGTAGGCGTGCTTTGTTCTTAGTCCCTTTCTTCGTGCTCTTCTGCACATATCAGACATCTTTGCCTCGACACTGTTTGGCCGGATTGCCATATCTTAAACATTTGAAACACATCAATACTGGACTTATATAGACTGCAATCATTACATCACAGAAATCTAGGTTTACTGACCTTGGAATCACTTTCCCTTGGAATGTTAACACCACTGATTCAGTGTTTACATAGATACTATCACCATTTTCAGTTATTCTCTTCTTTACCCTCCTGGCCTCAACAACATTTGCAACGTATTTTGTATACTCGACTATTTCCTCGTCTGATAATACCTCTGGCTATTTCTTTGCAAGTGACTAGGCTAGCTGGAATATATGCATTAAGATTTTCCTCTAATAATATTTTATTAGTTAAAAATTCGTTTGCACTAGGATAATCAGTAAATTCTATTCCAACTCTGTTTTTCTGGAGGTTTTCTCCACTCCTCCTACTTTTCTATTTTTCAAAAGTCTACCAATACCATGGGACGCAT